TGTATGGCTTAGGATAGCAAGAGACGCAGCCCAAATTGATGTAAATGGGCTCGAACACTCTCATTACCCTTTGTGTGATGTCGGTTAATGATTTTTCGCAATACCGAAATCGTCAAAAGCAACTGAATGAAGCTCATAAGAGAATAAAAAATGATCACTTATTGAACTAAGATATCTGATAGTGCATGAAATCAACAGGATCAATCATGCTACGACCATATATTCTACCTAAATTATAAAAGTCCGGCCTACCTCTAAGACCAATTCTTGATATGTCTGGATCCCCCAACCACTCGATAGCAAAATAGCTAGCAGATCTCCTAGAACCCGTAGGAAATTTTTATACATTCTCTGCAAGACATTTGCTGATCACATAAAAGTTAATATGAATGAGAAACCTATCTTCTCACTTGATGTTGAATCACTGTTCACTAATGTCACACTCAAAGAGACCATCATTTTTAATCGCGAATGCATAAATGATAATAAAATTTATATAAGACTATCAAAATCTTGTTCAAAGGAATTACTATTATGATGCACTTTAAGCTTGCAATCCACATTCATTGACTTAATTTACAGACAAAAAGATAGCATAGCAATGGGATCCTCTGATTGTCCACTATTAGGAGATTTTCTGATGGCTAACCCAGAAAACAATCAACTTGAAAGAATTATTGATAACTTCCACTTGTATAGAAGTTAGATGGACGACATATTTACCGTTTGTGACAATAAACATATCATTTGAACCATCTTCTAAAGACGTTTAATAACTGTCACGGCGCAATAAATTTTATACCATAAGTTGAAAACAAACAAAATATTTACTTTCTTGACATGAAAACGCAATGGAACTCCAAGTTCTATCTACAGGAAGCCCTTTTGGAATGGCCATTTATCAACATTTTACGAACAGGTCCCCAGCAACCGAAAATGAGACTTTATTTTATCCTTCACTACTTGGATACGAAGAACTTATAGCCTTGTGGATATAGATAAATTACTGAAAAAACTCATCGTAAATGGCTATCCATCGAGATTTATTGATAAGAACATCAGACCTAAATCTCTAAAGCACAAATATACTACATACGAAAGAAACCCCCTTATATGAACATCGATTTCGAGAGCGATATAGCTGGAGATGTAGGGAAAAGGAAACTTTCAAACACTGCGAACAAACTTCGCGATTAGTTTTCAAGCTAATCTATGTTCAACAATAATTTAAAGGAAAAATTATAGGTCTATCAGTTTACCTGTTCATGCGAAGTTAGGTATAAAGGTCATTTGGTGAGAATTTTATCCAAAAGAATTAAAGAATATTATTTGCCTTAATTAAAAAGAGGCAAAAACAACTCAATAAGAAACTCAATAATCGAACACATTGAGAGGACAGGTTATTCGACCAAAACAAACTCTACATTCAAAGTTATCTGCAAGGTAAATAGAAAGCTTTCAAACCCAATTGTCCTCCGTCCTTGTAGCATTGCCGAAGTACTTATTATCTATCTAGAAAAGCCAGAATTAAGTGTACTAGTTTGTTTCTGTTTCTATGATCCCCATGATAAAAGTTCATCCTACTCTAAACGTTTTATTTTATCACATTGAGCCCTTCCCTTCCTATTATAATTTCTTTTTCTATCTTCATGATGAAAATTCAAGTTCTGAACAACAACATTATAATTAATTCTCTGAATAAAAATAGCCTTATATGCCTCATTATCACTATATTTAACAAAATTTTATTATTATTTTTATCGTTATTATTATCATTTGAAAAAACAAGTGTATGTTTGAGATTTTGCAGCTTCGAAAATGAATTCACAGAAAACAAAATTCTTAGCTGAACCAATCTTTTTTATTCTATGTCTCAATGTGAGTACATTCACTTCATTCAAATTAACTTCACTGGTCTATGAATTTGCAGTAAAAAAACGGCTCATTACTAACACTATACATAAATAACACTACAAGAGGACAGAAAAATTTATTCAACAAACTAAATAGGGTGCTATAAATTCATTTGTCATTTTGCCACTTGTTACTTCAGGCTCGTATACTTTATTTGAAATTATTTCCGAGAGCTACACGTCCTACTTATGAAAATAAGGCTAACAAATTGCTACTATGATGTTTAAATAAATAAATAAACCAATTTTAAACAAAGAGCTGTACTAAAATTCTGTTCAAACACTCTTCCGTAAATCAAGTACTTTGGGCATGACAGATTACCCAATTATCTACAATAACGAAATTAGCCATTTATCAATCTATTCAATAAAACTGAAATAGCAGTTTGGAGAATCTAACCTAATTTAGGATGATGCTTCTTATATTTAGTTTTTTTCGTAACCTGATATGATTATTTCCTACCGTCTATTCTTAATCCGTTACTTTTTTCTCGCTGTAACGATAAGAAATTCAACGAACTAGATCAGAACACATTTGAGACATGTTGTATTTCCTATAGCTAAATTCTACAAATGGTACATTCCGGACACAAAATAAAACATGAGTCCTTGATTTTGTCACTAATCTCACATGCCAGTGTGTGGTGTCCTAGGTCTGAACGTGACTGACAATTTGAGTGGGAAGGCATGAAAGGATTAGAAAGTACATTTGACCACCATATCACATATACAAATACTCGTCTATAGATATAGATATATAGATATGGAATATTTTTGTTGTCAGATTAATTTATTGATAGGTGACAATAGAACTTAGTGGTGTTTGATGGTACTTAAATCAAATTCATCACGCAAACAAACCAGTCACATCTACAACCAGTGATAAAATAACCGATCTATATTCCCCATTCTCTGACTGTTTATTATTTCAGCTTGAAAAAGTGTTACACAAGCTGGCGAGGAAAAGGGTATACAAGATAGCAGTACCTTTATCAGAACAACCATAATTATCAGATTTTAAAACTTCCTAATTTATTTCACATAAACATATTCATTCAAATTCACAACTGATGCCTCACTTTTTTCAATAAAGTATTTATAAACAAAATAGTTAAACATTCTATCTATCTGACCCACTAGAAAGTACTTCAGTAAACCAAACGAAACCAGCAGCATAAATTCCTCTTTAAAGTTACTATTTTATGCCTAATTTTTAAACAATGAAAATTCATCAATAATTTTTCTCATCCTCTCCGTTATTAACAAAAATTAATATGAACATTTCCTACGAGGAAAACATCCGTACTTGGTAACAAGACTTTCATTCATTTAACTCTACTTTTAAGCCATAATTTTGGTGATTGATTTCGGAACAACATCGTTCTAAATACGAAAACAGCCAAAACATTTTCAAATATCTGCCCAACTTGCGTGAAAGATCAGCCTTTTTATCACTGTTACGATAAACCAAATAAGTGACCTATTCAAGTAATGTATGAAGGTTGTTGTTGAATACAATGAATGAGCATTAAACCATGGTTGTACATCAAATTAATTATTTCCAACTTTCTCTCTGTTAGGCCTAATAAATGTGAATTCATCAAAAAAGTTGGTTATGTCGGCAGTATTATCGAACTAACTAGGAATGACTGTTACACAAATCAGCTTTAAGTGTACCTGAACTCTAACTTCATAACTACCTAGTCAGGTTTATCTGGTGGTCCCAAGAATAAAATAATACTGTGAGTTCCCAATGATTTTTCTGAACTAATCATGAACGGTTAATCTATCTGCACAATATAGTCTCAGCTAATCATTACAATCATTAAACACATATAAGATTCACCACATACGCTAAATCAGAATCTAGGTCTCACAAACAGCAAAAACAACCAAGGAAAGAGTAATTACTTCATATTTGTTGAATGAGTCCTCATTTACATGTCCATTCACCACATTTAAGATAATAAAATAACACTTGTACTTGAGAAAGGAAAGCAAAATTTAATCATTTCATCCACAAAAATCGTCAAAACTTATAACAGCGAGAACAATCAAAGTTCTTCAAAACGGATCGTCCTCTAAATAACTACTTTGAGTATATTTAAGGCTAGAACTCCCTAATAGTAAAGGTAATATCCTTCATTACGAATTGTATTTAAATATTGCATAAAGGTCAGCTGGCAATAGCTTTACCATCCATCTATTTTGTGAAGTAAATCCCCATTTCTAAAGCCGATAAGCTTTCCAAACCGTGTGTTAGGATTAGAATGATTTTAGAAAATAAACCACCCGATCTAATCGATGTTTTAATACTTTCATATGATTATCTATTTGATTATTTCACCTCATATGTCTTACAACGGTTAGGAGTCGACTGAACGAACCCTATTCTTTGGAATATCATTACAAAACTACGTTGCAGGGTGCCACAATTAGACTATGTAACTGGAGACGATGTTTCATATAAACATAAGAAATTGAAAGCAAGAGTTCATGTCTAAAATCCAATTCATCATTATGCAAGGTCTATCTAGAAGATTTAGGAAACCTTGATATCAAATCAGTTGTTCAGCATTTGAAGGTAAAAATGCTTAAACATTTAAAGAAATTCAGCTGTCAGTTCTTCATAAAAATCATAATTAATTAGGATTTAATAAATGATGATCATCGAAATCAAAATACTTATCGGTGACAAAAATAATGCATATAATTTATACATCAAGATAAAGTAAATTAAGCAGCCTGTGTTCATTCAATTCATTTTAAAAAGTACTTCAAGAAGATAGTAGTTTTCATGAACCTTTTGTAAAGATACTAATGAAATAAACTTTCTGATTCTGTATGTAACTGTGACATGAAAGTTTCTGTAAATTGCATTGACATGAAAATTCTTAAAAGATTAACATAACACAAAAGATTAACATCACAAACAAAATAAATACCTATTGTCAAAAAATAAGCTATAGTATTCATTACTGTATAGATTAAATAAAATCCACTTAGGGCTGAATACTCGATAATGTATTTTCACAATATGCACCTTAATAGAATATGATAAAATAATAACTTCAATTTACCACCTACCTCAATGGGAATGAAAACTCTTCCATTTGATCTCAGTGTTATACGACTTGGCTGCAATACAAGAAAACTTGGCCTAGTTGCATTGATTGTTAATAGTTTAGAAACAGTAAACCTTCCATCCATTACTTTAAGATTCATTTGACCGGTAGGAAGTCCCATATGTTTAAAGCTAATAAGACCATTAGTTATTTCAGAATATTTAAAACGTCGTCTGATTGTCATACCAGGATTTTGAAAGAAATATCCTAAACCTGGATATATAATATCTTTTCTGTGAAATTTTGTGTTTTCTTCCCAATAAATCCAAAAGTCACCCCTTTTATAAACCAATTCATCATTATTATCGTTATTCTTATCAACATACTGATCGTTCTGGAAACTTTTATCTTTATCTATTATTTTAAATGATCTAATTAATGTGTTATTTGTTTTGTTAAATTCAACAAAAAGAGGAGTTACATATACGTTTGGAGGATTATCATTCACTGGAATAATACGAATCCGAAAAATAGAAGTAACCGGTTGACCAAATAGTTCATCTATTGACGTGTGTGTTAATCCTGTTAAATGTTTGGTTATATCTTCATTAGCGCCGTCAGAAGAATGGCTATGAGGTGTTTGGCGGCAAAAAAATTGAAATTGAAAACTATCCTTAAACTCTTCTTCATCGTTATGACGATACATTAACAAATTATAATTAACCAATCTGTGGTTATATTCTGCTAAATGAATTAAATTTGCCAAAGTTGAATTGAATGGTGATTTTATTATTAATGTGCCATGATCAGGTAATGAGAGAATTTTAAAGTAAAGATCATATTCCTGAAATAATTCATCAGATGACTTTAGTAAAGAATTGTTTTGACATTGTGAATGTTTAGCATAAAATAATTCAGGTGTTAGAATTAGATCTCCACCTTCCTCTACAACTGCTCCTCTGTTAATAATCGTAGGACTAAATTTAACAGTAGGTATTGAAGAAGTGCTTGATATTTTGTTGATAATTATTCTAAAATCATAAACTGTCTTAGGTTGAGCTCCTTCCACATGAACGCGATATTTGAATTCATCCACCAGACTGAAACGTTTTGAACTTATATCTGAAATTTTCTCCGTACTATCATCCAGTACACGGCGAAAGGTATAAAATAAATTTCCCATTCTTAAGTCTTCTTGTGTAAATTGTGAACTAACACCGAGATAAATTTTATCATCCAACTCCTTGTTTGTATATGTCTGATGACTGCTTCTATTAATGAGAAACAAATGTCCATGAATCGGAATTTTTGTTAAAGTAAACCATATTAGTGAATCTTTCTCCTCTGGTTCAACTCTAACTTCTAAATACCTTGAATCCAATCGTGCTGTACGACCTTCCATACCAGTAAGAGGCGGATTTATTTTATCACTGACAGAACTTACATAAATTAAAAGAGGTCTGTTTACGGTGATGCTTATATGAATTCGAATAAAGTTCACTGGCAAAACTAATCTTACTATATTTGATCTTTCCAAGTTTATAGAACAAGTCAAATGTATGCGATCGTTAAAAGCAGTATGCATACTATCTGGTTGAGCTACAAGGCTAATATAACGAATCTTTTGTTCAGTTACTTGTAATCCTGTAAATGTAATTGTTTGTTCCCACTTTGACTGATCATCATCTACTTTTATTTGTACAATGCCATATTTAATTTGTACAACATTACACTGATAATGCAGAAGTGTTGCTTGGTTGAACTCGTTCAGCATGTTACCACTCGATAATGGAATTAAATTAGATGAATGTATAGAAACCGCTCTAACTGGTACACTATATAGTGTTGGTAGCATAAATGTAGGTATCATATTTGTAGTTTTATTGAATAAAGAAACTTCGTTTTGAGGTCCAATTATTGAACGTGGTGAACGCGGTGAAAATTTCCTTAAAAAAAGTAATAACGTAAAAAGTTATCAGGTATGATTATGAGATTTTTATTTTTGGAAAAACATTTTACCCCCTAAAGAGTGTGAAACAACCGTGTGCATCAGATTAGTAGGCGAAAGTTAGGTTAATCCCAAAATAAAAGATAATAAATAATTAATTGAAATATCTAACACCCTTATTATTATACAATTTACGTAATTCGCTATTATTAACTCTTTGAAGAGTAACCTAAAACATAATTGAAGAGTTGAAAATATCAACATTTGGACTTTTTAAAGACTCGCTATTTCAACCGGGAGAAAAAATAAATAAATTATGAGATAAACTGTTTAACTAATATGAATGAATTTACACAGTTCAGAACGTAGTTCATTCATATACACCTTAGAAATTGAAATTCAAGAGATATAGTCAAAACTTTGTGAATAATTACTCATAAAATGAAGATAATTTCGATTTAAAAGTATCCACTGTTAGAACCGAGGATATTGATCAAATATTTAGCGTGCTACCTATCCTCTTCAATATCCCCAACTCTTAAATTATGGTAACTACCAAATAAGAGTAATATATCCTCCCGAAGCTTTAAACTTACGATTCAATCAATTTTAGAAATATATTTCAACGCCATTATTAAACTTTCTTGAAATCTTCTTCTCGGATACAGAAATTCGATTTCATATTGATAGAAAAGTAAAAAACTACAAAGTATTTCCTATGATACAAAATGTGTTTCTATTTTAGGATACACGTTTATCTGCAAATCCTTCTTTTGGTAAATGCAAGATTAGTACACGAAGAATTGTAGCATTTTAAGGAGATGATTAATTCCATGTATAAAAAAAGGATTAATTAATGATAAATGACTTGAAAATTAGATAATCAACCGTCTGGTCTGCAAATACTTTCAAAATAACTGATAGTCATTCTTTTGTTCAAACTTAATATAAATGATGCGTCACAATCTAGCCGCATGCTACTTAATGTAAATCCTACGAAATTACACAACCAACAATGATCAGCACTGTGGGTTTCAGAAATATCAGTAAATAGAGACGATTTGCTGTTCTTTATTTGTTTAGAGATTCGACGTTTTTAACTCTTGATACAAAAAGAGAAATGAATACAACTGAACATGGAATGGTAAGACAGAAGAATACTTTGATTACTTGCTGTCTTTCCAGTGGTTTAGAGTTACAAAAGATCTTTTGAATTAACTAAAATCACTAAAAAATTTAAACCTATAAAACAGAATAATCTATCATTATTATCAATTTTAAATTTACTAAAGAAATTAAAAAGACATACCGAAAAAACAGCGGATTCAAATTCTGTTCACCGTTCATTTCGGATGTTATGGATGCTCTGAACTTGTAGTTTCTGATACAGTATGAACAATAGCGTCTATTGTTTGCATTATTCATGAATTTACGTCTTCTAACCTTTAAAGTCAGATGTTGTTGCATATTAGTGTATGTCGAAGAATTCAAATGCATTTTAGATACATTGGTATGCTGAAAATACATGATCAAAATGTACGAGTTAACTAACGAATTCATTTTAAAAATAATATTATTTATTTGATTTGGTTTTCAATTGCAATTTATGTTATGTAAAATTACTTTTCCTTAATTAATACTAATAACGAATGACTAACTGTCTAGGGACTGCTTAATATTCTAACCAGATTTTGGGTTAAATTCGTAGAAAAATCATTTCATCACAACTTATCCCAAGCTTTGCAACCAGTATTACACTTAATGAACAAAATAACTAAGTAAGAATGTAAGTTTTTGAAATATCTACCGTGAATAATCTACCTCATTAGTTTCATTTTTAAAAGTATGAAAAAGTTAATTTTGAGTTGAAACTACTAACCGGAATTTTGGTAACATTCAAAAAAGGTTAGATAAAATCCCCACCTTTATTACGATAGTTAGCATTATTTTGTAACATATAATATTGTTGATAAAATTGTATTTATCACATGGTATTTTAATATAAACGTTTTGTGTGATCGTATCATTGCATATTGCATCCTTTTTAACCATAAATTTCAAAGAAACTCAATATTAAATTACATCATAGAATCAAACAGATGAGATGCTATAAAATTTAAAGAATATGTCGACTGTTCTGTTACTTTATAGTCATATTTCGGTTAACCAGAACTGCCGTATCCATTGATACTGTTATTAGTGTTTAGTCTGTCGATTTTAGAAGTAATGAAAGTTAAAACCGGCAAGAATATAACAGTTTATACCGTGGGGTCAGAATCTCAGCTTCTTCACTTTTCAGAAATATACTTACATAGGTGATTAAATACTAGGTTATAGTTACAAGATATATGGTAAATACTTATAGTTGAATTTCATGGCTTTTTAAACAAGCATAACAAAGTAGATAACCACAGTGAAGCCGTCGATCCAACACTGAAAGATCGATTACGAATCATAAATAAAAGTAATCACACAAATATTAACTGTGACGTTGAAATGACTGATACTTTCTCAAAGAATATACAGCACATGTATGTGGTACAATGCATTTTCAACAAACAACTTTAGGTTTTTGTGATTGTGATGAAACGAATTCATCCTAAATCAAGTTTTTGTGTCATACGCAATTTAAATTATGAGGAGTAAGATAACTTGAAACAGAAGTTTGAGATACTTTAGTATACGAGTTTGAAATAGATATTCCCGAAAAATAACTCAAAATAGTGTTAAGAGGAATAAAACAGAAGATTTGTTGTTAGACATGGTTATGTTGGACACTTAAAATTCTGTCAAAAATAAAAGTAGTCACACAGAATAGAGAAAGAATTGTTTAAGCAGCTAATAATAATTGCAAAAATAAGAGACTACATTATCATAATAAAAGTAATGAAGGGCCAAAAAACAACACGTACAATCAAAATGAAAGTAATTTGTCGGCATATAAATCTTAAAAATAATAAAACTATTGCCTAAAGATAACAGACTGGTTGTTAAAATCCACCATTTTCAAATATTTAAAACGAGCATTCATAAAACTCCAGCTTTATATTAGCCATGTCAGTCTCCCTAGTGAGAAATATGAGTATAATCATTTGTTGAAAAGAAATTCGGAAAAGCCTTTCTACTTTCATAATGTAATCAAAAATGATAATTTGCTATCCAGCCAAAAAAGATATTTGGTAACTCAAAAAACTTGATAAACTGGAGATTCGAGTCGCAGTGTGAAATAGCTGCAATAAATGTATAAAAGCCACACTAAACTTTAGCTTTTCTAAATTATAATACAAATTACAATTCTACCTAACACTTTTAAAATCCTTTTTAAAATCTAGAAGCGTCACCGAATCCACACATTTCCTACCGTATTCGTAAGAAAGTGTAACAAATAAAAATGGTACGCGTTACAGATTCTGATAGACTCAGAACTTAAAAGACTTTTACCAATCAATAATAAGTCTTCTAAAACGTACCAAGTAGAGACAGAGTGATGAATGCAGTAACATTAGTGTCGGAAGTTGGCTACAATTACCAGCCACAAAAAAGCTACATTTCAACTAGCAGATTAAATGAAAAATAAGGAAGCATTAGGAATTCGATGACTATCACAAAAGCTTTGAAGAAACCATGACATTCAGACCACATAGTTTTACATTAGAAACTTACAATTAAGACATCAACAATGCTATTGTATTAATATTTAGTTCAGTTCTCTGAATAACCTTCAAATCAATTACTGTGAGATTTCAGCCGCAAAAATTTCGTTGACTTGATTTTCGTTTCTACTCTATACAGATAGCCCTTTATTTAGGAATGTTACTTTTGCAAACATTTCCTACTTACTTACACAAGTAAGAATCGCTGAACATTAATAGTCAATCACATTTGGAATTTTGTAAAAATTATATCAAATAAATGTGGCATTTTATAAGAGAAAACTTCAAAAATGAGTTTGACTGCTTATTTTTCTGTACTTATCGGAAAAATTTATGCTAATTTAATTCAAGTCTTTTCAAACGCCGTTTCGCCGGATATATTTTTGCTAGAGACAATATAAGATCAGACACCAATAATACAAATAGTGATCATATGAAAAAAACTGGCTTATAATGAAATATTTCTGTTTTGTTGCATTGAAAAGAAATAGCCACTTTTCATTATCCATCAGTCTTCACAAAACACTCCCTAAGTTTGAGACACCAAACATATCAATATCATACTGTTCCTTTTTGATGTAGCTGTGAGAAGATAACACTCTCCCAAGTCTATACGTTGTACATTATTTTCCATGAATAATTTCCCCACCCATTTGACTATCTTTGCTTCAAGATGTTTGCACTTGATGATGAAACAGTTTCATTTCTATTTAATGCTATTATTAAGCCAATCTAGAAATGTTCTTTATTTAGAAATATACAGTTATTTGAGGAACTAGGTACACCGGACTTTAAGTGATAATAGGCACAAACTTGGTCTTATGGTTATCAGTAAGGAGCCTGTAACAGTATTACAAAATAATAATGTGTCACGATGTTATGAAACATAACAGTGACAGGTTTATTCTCGTATAATTAAAGTGGTTGCACACCTTTTAACGGTATAAAATTGATCAACTTATGTCTACCACTAACAGTGTTATTCTCTTTTACGAGGCTCAGTCTCGTAAGAGGAGAATGTAATTGCCAACCTGATAACAATGTAACCTATTCATTTAGCTATGACATCAATCTTAAAAATGTCGGTGACTTCCGACTGGTTTCATTATATTCAAAGATTTGGAACCGCTGTTAATCTACATCATTTTAATTTTTGTCTTTACCATAAAATTAAGAAATCACTGTCTCAAAATTATGTTTTAATTTCTGTCATCAAATTAACGAGTCTTTTGAAGTAGATAGATGATGAAAACTGAAAAAATATTATTAGGAATGAAATTAGTTGTGATCATACCGTCTATAAAACAGAAAAAACAATTAGCTTTATTAGATAAGAAATTCATAGTAAACAGCTGTTAGTATCCCAGTTTGGTCGGACATTATTCCTCTCATGACTCAAAAGTTTATTTCTGACGATACGTCTGAGATAAATTGCATTCGTCAAAAAAACACTTTAGCTTGACAGCAATTTATCTCAAATAGCCGTCTCAGCAAAAGTTACATGAAATTAACAAGTTAAGCCTGAAAATATACGAAAAAGTGAATCACTAGTAGCGTTTTTACACAACAAATGCAAGCTCAAAAATGATTACTTGGAGGCTAGTAAGTCTAAAAAGGACTATTATCTAAGATTACAATGATAACTGGTAAGACAGTTTCTAATCCCCTTCCCCCCGTATTTAAAGTTTGATTTATTATTATGGATTTGCAAATTATAATGACATGAACTTACATACAGTAATACCAGGAAAACGTTATTTAATTATAAATATGAAGAGATAATTTGTTTTAAAACTTGCAATCACACAAACCTGCACAAGTCCTTTTGCAATCATGACCAGTAGACAAGAAAAGGAATCACAACCGATATTTTGTTGCTTCTGTCAACTATATTTTATGGTGGGGTCCACTGGTTTGTTATGAAACCGCATGGATTTCTTAATTCTTCCTACTGCATATTTTGGAAAGGAAATTAGTTTCTTGGAAACATAATATATTTTTATGTCTAACTCTTTTGAAATATCATTTCATTCAAAAGAAGTGTCTGAAACGTTTCTATTTCTTATTTCTGCACTAAATGATTAGTTTGGAAACTGAGTAAATATTTTTTGTGTAAAATAATCCTTCGTAAATATTTTTACTTGTAATAGGATTACCTGAGATAATAAACAGGCAACAAATGACTTAAAGTCAACAAATTTATAAAGAACATGTCCAACAAGTATGAGTAATTAAGTAAATTACGTGAAATAACGATAACCGAGACGATTCCTCAAGTATATCTAGCCGCCAAGGATTGTTATTCGTTTTTTGTTGTAGACGATGACAATTACCACAGAAGTAAAACTAGAACCACAATAACCGATCTTCTAACTTCTAACCAGTACCATTTATTTTAAACCGTAAACATCCAATTTAATTACAATAAGAATATTTTATCGCAAAAATAAATGAATTAAGATAACTGAAACATACTTGATTCTAGTTTTTAGTAGTTTTCAAATGTTTGCTACACATAAGTTTTACTCAGAACCTGAGTTTTTACAGTAGGTACATTAGTGCCAAACCGAATAGGTTAGTATCCTCGACGGACGTTAATGTCAAGTGGTTAATGAAATGGTACACAAACTACTCAACCTCATCTATTAAAGCCCAGCATTTTCTCTCAATTTAACTGGTACGATTCAAAGTACATAGGGACCTGCCTCTTTACGCAGCAATGCATAAATCTTAAAACTGTTAAGAATCTTCTGATAATTAGTGCGTATCTTTCCACTTTATTTGCACTACGAGCACACTATATTTTATTAATCCAAAAAAGAACGTAAATTTCTGTTGATTATG